AACATTAATATTACTTTCATCTTTTTCATTTGCAGTTGAGATCCAGTGTTAAAGGTCCAGTGTGAAGATTTAGTGGCATCTAGCGGTGTAATTGCAGATTGGAATTCCACCACCTTCCCCTTCCAGGCCCAAAAGGGGAAACTATGGTGGCCACAAAATACAAAACACAAAGGGCCCTATCTAGAGCCAGTGTTTGTTTTTTCCCATCTGGGCTACTGTAGAAACATGGTCATTCAACATGGTGGACTCCATGGAAGGTGACCAACGGCATCTGTAGATAAAAACGTTTCCTTCTATAGTAACAAAAACATACAGATTCCTATATTCAGGTGATTAATTCAATTCAATTCAATTCAATTCCTTACAGACATTATCCCCGGACACTTTTCAAATAGAGCAGGTCTAGACCGAACTCTTTATAACATTATTTACAGAGACCCAACAGTACCACCATGAGCAAGCACTTGGCGATGGCGGCAAGGAAAAACTGCCTTTTTAAGAGGCAGAAACCTAGGACAGATCCTTCTGCTCTAGGTGGGTGGTCGTCTGCCTCAACCAGTTGTGGTGAGAGAGAGAGAGAGAGAGACAGACAGACAGACAGACAGACAGACAGACAGACAGACAGACAGACAGACAGACAGAGGTGCACAGCAACAACAGTAGCAACAACTACACTAATAGTAGCTGAAGGCTCTGGCTCCTGTTCTACTTTTAGAGACTATAGGAACCACAAGTAGCCCTGCATTCAGAGAACGTAGTGTTCTAGAGGGGTAATAGGGTACTATGAGCTATTTAAGATATGAAGGGGCCTGACCATGAAGAGCTTTATAGGTGAGGAGGAGGATTTTAAATTGTGTTCTAAATTTTACAGGGAGCCAGTGCAGAGAAGCTAGTAGATTAAACACTAACAAATATATACCTATGAATATTATATTCCATTTCTGCCAATAGATCCTCCTAAATGTTACACACTGGACCCTTAACAAAAAAGCAAACTGCAGTTTCTATACACTTTTATATTAACATTTTATATCATCCTCGTTTGTTTGCACACAAACAACAAATGAAGGCCCGAAATCTGCTCTCTTCTTACTAACCTTTTATACACATTTGCAGGCACCTTTAGCCTTTGCCATTATAATGCATCAAATGAAATGTACATGTAAAAAAGTACTTTAAAACAAAATTGTATTTTTATTTTAACATAAGTTTAAGTTTAACTTACATGATGTACTTAAACTATGTCATGTACGTAACATAACTACCTTAACCTAACCGAGTAGTTTGCTTAAACCTAACCTAACTGCAACCTCAACAAGTTATTATTGCTAACTTGACCACAGAATGAGCAAGTGATACTGGCTGTACCATTAGCAATATTGACACTGAGTGACTGACTACATCATACAGCCATAATTTGGAAGTTGTCCCTGTATTAAATAAGGAGAACTGTATTGTATAATGTATGGTAATTTAAGATCAAACCTTGTAACCACAATGGGTGTTTGAAGACACAAAAGATAGTAATGTAAATCATGTAAATGATCCAGCTAACCTGGATATTAAAATAATTGAACTTTTAGTTTAAGGAACAGAGGTCGTGGCTAAATACTTCACTGAATAGTAGTATGGTGGTATGGTATGGTATGGTATGGTATGGTATGGTAACACTTAAAGTATACACCAATTCATTACTCAGCCTCAGCTGACTGTGCTGCTAGTGTATATAACACATCATTCTACTGAATGCTGACAATGACCTGAACTTTTTTTTAATTCTTTTTTTTTTATGCAAACCTTGGTGCTGTGAGGTTTGCAGTGGAAACGGCTTTGGTCGGTGTGTTATTGAACCTGCTTCAATTCACATATTCTTTAAAAAGTAAGCAGGATATCTTTCTGACAACATGAGAACCTCTTTTAGACCTCTGAGTATCAGCCCATCCCAGCTAGATGTGCTTCGATTCAGATATTTTTGTTTTTAATTATTTATTCCCATCAATTTAGATTTTAAAAAACAGTTATTGATAATTATCTGTTGAATATTGGACTAAAACTGCATCATCATGTGGCATATTGAAAAGTAACCCCCACACAAGGCATTAAGATATAACCACTGTAATTATATATTTTCACCAAAACTATTGGTTGAATGCACTTCCCAATGCTCAGAGATGCAGGACAACAATGTATTGTAATTCAAATTATGAACAGAAATCTTTAAATTGGGTAATTTAAAATATCTGATAAATAATGTGCCAAAAAAATAGTTTGGCTTTTCATGTCATTGTCATACTATACGTTGTCTCACCACTTACTGTTGTGGAGAAAAAAGAGCCTTTTGAAGGGGGAAAATAAATATAATCGTAAAAAGAAAGGGGTGTGCACAATCAATTGTGGCGGGGGGGGATTACCTCCGGATATCCATCTAATAATAACAGAGGCCTCAGCAGTCCCAGTTTAAGACGGTGATACTGTTGATCCCCATATGGGCTTTTACTGTATACCACCGTGAAACAGGACAAACAGTCCTGTGTAATATTCATCCCTGAGGAATAAATATCTGCCCTCGTGTCTTGCCTGAACACAGAGTGAGATTGCTTTAAACTGTAAGCTACTCTTTTCATGGAAAAGATCTAAAATTAATCAGCGGGCTTGTTGTCCCCTCTTAAGGCCATGATAAGAAGGTTTTGGTGCATGGGGAGGGAAACATAAGAGGCTTTGGGGGCCGCTTTTATTAAAAGGATCTGACATCTACCTGCCCTCTCAAATGGCAGGCAATTTTGACACTTCTGGCACGCAAAGCAGCCATACAAAAATAACCACATCTCCTGGGCTGTAGGCCGACTCTGTTTTGATGCTGTTTACCTTAAAGGACACTGTGAGACGCATTGTAAATGAAATGCCTCTCCACAACAAATCACAGAGCAATTTATTTGGCAGCTTGAGTGTCTACACATGGGCTGATTTCTCTCTTCATCTTTTCATTTTCCTGTTGTCATTATCCACACGTATCATGTCGGAGACGGCTTGATGGACTCAATGTGTCGGAACGGCTTGTTCTCACATCCGTATCACTGCAGGACTCCCTGCAGTACAGCAGCAGCCTGTGAGCGTTAAGACTCAGGGCCAGTTCTCGCTGTGATGGTCAGTTGGAGATTCTTTTTATTTTTATACAGTTATCGTTTCCCATTTCCCCACTTGATTGGAGCTTAAAAGCCAAAGCAGCTCAGATCGTGCCGGCATAAATCTCCAGGCCCATTAATCCGTCCTGGTGTCGTGTTTCGCACAGAACTGCCCAATCGTGTCTGGATATTCATGGGGAAATTAAATGAGTGATGTTCCGAGGCAGCGCACCGACACTGCAGATTGGATGTTAAACTAGGTGGGCTGCTTTGTGCGTTTGCTGTTGATTATTCTCAATATGTATAGGATATGAAGGAATAGCTTCTGTAGAGACAGCATGCGACGTGTCTGTTACATTAACCCAAACTATCCTTTCTCTTTTCTATTCTGCTTCACATCCTCCAGCAATGTTGGCAGACTTCATGTCTGAATTACTGGCTATGATGTTGAATGATATTTTAACAGGGAATGGACTGAATAATAACCACAGAAATGTGGAGGAGTTTAATTGAGTTTAATGTCCAGAATATAAATGCTCAATAGCTGCGGTTGCATAAATGCATGCATAAATCTGTACATCTAATTCAATGAAGTCTGGGTTATTTTAGAAAAGAAACTGTTGTTCAAGAACTGAGAGCTTTGGCGTTTTTGCAAGGTTTATTTTTTCACTTCTGTTGGAAATAGGCCTCCAGTCTTTGTATTAAGCACCTGGACATGTCTTTGTATTAGACGGTTGATGAAACTTAGCTCCTCCTTGACTGCAATAAAAGACAGTGTTGAGTATTTCTCTCCTAAAATCGTTTCAGAAACATATTTTAGTGAACTGTTTAGCTGTGATATGAGATTGTGACCGGGCAACCGCCATTGTTTTCTGCTACGGGCAAGTCGAAACTGCACAGCCAATGAGAACAGCCCAACTCGCAGTACATCACCTCCGCTGGACTCCGACAAACTGTCATGGTGACGGCCAAAACGCTGAACTTGAGGCTTCAGAACGGTACTCCACAAACAATACAATGGGTAAATTGGTACTGTGTGTGTGAATAAAATAATTTTGGTGTAAGTTCAGACATAGAGGTTGGCACAGATCTCTGTTACACCATGTACAATATCAGAGTGGACTGAATGCTTTTGTAGTTCCACAAGAGTGATATGTTTTATCTCTAGCTGATTGTAGAAATCCATCAAACCAGACTAAAGCACAATCACTGGATCCTAACTGCTAATATTATTATCAAGCTAAATAATACAGTAATGTTGATTTGTCTACTTTTTATCTGATGATTCATGTTCAGCTGCAAAAAAGTCCAAACATTTTACACATCTGGATGATACATATGCATCGAACAAGGAGAAAGTAAAATTTGACTTGCAGTTCGATTTACCTTATTTCCCCCAAAAATCTGTTTTTTTCTCAATTCTTCTAAGAAGGATTTGTCTCCCCCTCTTCTATAACATAATTAAAAGATATCCTCTCTTCTTTTAATTTGGGGCTATATTATATCTAATCCTCCCGCCCTTAGTCTTAGCTTCCATCTTGGGCTCTTGATTTGATTTTGGTCATTGCTGATTTGATCTCTGGCAATTCTTTCAATCTCCTACTCGACAGTAATATCAACTCTCAAGATGTCTGATGCTTTAATCCACAGCATTAATCTCAGACTCTCTTGCTTAAGAAAATGCAGCTGTGGGGGAGGGAAGGAGGTCAGTCCCCCTGGATTAACAAATATGTATTTTTTGCAGTCTACTGACACACAGACTCTACTTATTAAAAGCTTTCTATAACAAATGCAAAGATTTTACTCAGTCATAAGCTGATTTTTGAATTCACATTCAGTCAGTCAATTCACAGCAAAAACAATGAATGAGGCGACAAGTTCTTTCCACATTTGCCATTCACCTTTATTTAAAAGTTCTTGGCCTTGGTGGGTTCTCCTAGAAGGCAGAAGCATGACGAACCCACCGGTAACTTCACACATGGAGCAAAAACACTTTGAGGGAGTGAATACTGGGGACATGCAGTACTTACACACAGGGCGACACACAGCTACAGTATAGAAAACAGTTGACAGAGGGAAAGTACAGGCAGACTTCACTTCCCATCATCCATTATACAAAAATGTGGATTCGCCCCATCATACATCCTGGAATGAAGTGCAGGGCAAGAACAAATATAATGCATGGCAAATAAATTCTATTATTTAAATGATTTTTGACTAAAATAGAACTTTTGTTTTAAAATTGAAAATGTGAAAAAAGTTGAAAACAGGTTGATCAGTGTTATTAAACCAAACTGTATGTGTACTGCCTTGCTAACTCATCCATTAACCAACATAAGACAGGGTGATGTCAGAGGTGTTAGGTTGATGTGGAAATCAAATGTTTGAAGAGGTGAGACCACAGGCAGTTGGTGTTTATCACAACTGCAAGATACATCTTGAGTTACCACTGACTGACTTAAATGTATGTAAATTTTTTATATATATTTCTATTATTTATTTATAAGTAGGCAACTTGACACTTGGATACAATTGACCATTCTTAAATGAGTAACACAGTATCACTTTCTTTGAAGGATAAACGCAGATGTCTCACTAACAGAAGAACTTGGCAGTAGAGTCAAATCTGAAAAGGGGACTATATTGATGCCTTTAGATGGTATTCAGCCTTTATATGGTATAAAGAGACAGTCCTCCCATCCTCTTTGATTCAAAATCCTACCATTTCCAATCCATATTTTACCATTTTTTTCCTTTTTAATAAATTTCTGCCATATGCTTTAATGTGCTAAAGTGAGTGAGTTCCTTGTGCAATTTTCCAACTGATTTCTCACTTTCACAATAATGATACTGCATATTAATCTGATGTCACTGACATATTTAGGTTAATTATGTAAGCGGGACAACATGCGCAACCGGGCAATCAAATATAACTAACAGAAAACATGGATTCAAACAAACGTCGAGCTCTCTGCCTTTCAAAGTGGTGTATAACTGAGGGTACTTGGGTTTACCCCCCACTATACACCTGCTCTGTAGTTCTCTCACAGTCCAACAGCTCGCTGACTAGCTAGCTAGCCTATATTTACTAGCATAGTCAATGCCATCAAAACAGGTAAAGTGGTAAAGTGGTCAAAACCAGCTTTTCCTTGATTTTGATTGATTGAGTTTCATGTGCGTCTAAAAACCACAAGAAAAATGTAACACACGACATGTGATATCATAGGAAAACAATGGTTTTGTTGCCAACATGTTTCTAGAAATGAATCTCTGTGTGATTGGCCCCTAATCCAACAATATATGCTACCTTCAAGAAGATGAACATTTGCTTTAAGCTAACTCTGGTACAACACACCAAATGGTAACATTGATGTTGAATCTTGTGCATGGTCCCTTTAACAAATGAAATAAATCAATCAAATGAAGGTTATCATTTTCAGTGTTTGTTGAAGCTATTTTTAAGAGGTGCTGATTCAACTGTATAGTTATTATTTTGTCCACCCCATATATATCAGTTAGGGTAGGCTAAATAACAGAAACATCCCTCTATATAATACAATGCAGTTCAACAGCACCACAAACTACATCCTCCAAAAGGATAATAGAGTTGAATTTGTGCTCCACACATGCAAACACCTAAACCTTTTAAGCTGTTTTAGGCTAATGCGACAGTAACTATTTGGTTAACAGGAAGTACCGAACCAAACAAAGCCATGTACCATGTTTGTGCAAAACAGTTTGTGGAGATGAAATGTATAATGTCCTCATGTGACAGGTAGGAGAGGAAACAATGGGGTTGCTTCCTTGAGATGTAAACGCTTGAAGGCTGAATGCTGTCCTGAAATCTTGACTCTAGGTTATTAAAATTACTCAGTTTTTGCACCCATCAGCTTTACTGTTTGACGATGCCTTGGATTTAATTTGTTGTGTGTTGTAACCGTTAGAGGAATATCATCCATGCTGGCCGAGAACAGACAAAAAACATTTCCATCACAACATATCACAGCATTTTGAACATTTTGTGTAGATTTTATGTTTGACACATGATGTAGACCCATTACAAAAAAAAATTACCGTTTTCACACCCTTTACAACAATGCAACATACAATAGCTGCATTCACTGCACATTTTTAGCACAATACAAATAAATTCATAGCCTAGTTCATCAACTTGGGAACAAACTGCTTGTCCAAATTGCTTAAGAGCATTCAGGAGGCATTTTGGAAATATCTTATGGATGTTGTAGTTTTAACTCGTTTTGGTCAGTCTGACCTTAAACCAACAAGAAACCATCGGTTCTGGTACCATTTGAATCAACAGCAATATGACTTCAACAGTGACAAGTAAATCATGCACTTGTTGGCATTTTAAAACAAATAAAGTTCACTTGGAACCACAATATAGTGGCCTGGATCACTTAAGTATTTCGTAGGTTATTTTCCAGCATAATTGCCTAGAGTAAAGAAAGTGTTCTATACTGTATATACTTTTCAGAATATGGAAGATAAATCTTAGCAACAAGCAACAGGAAAGCTACCGTTCAAAGACTGTAGAAATTTTGGGTTGCACAACATGAAGGTACAAAATAATATTTTTTCATGCCTTCAAATGATGAGCTCCATATAGATGCAATCACTTGCCTTTCTTTATCATCTTATTTAGATTGTGAGTGGTCACATTTTGTTTCAGACTCACACATTTGGGCCTCTTTTGGATATTCTCATTTGCTCACATTTTAGGAGAAATCAGTGTTTAATTGATTTAAGGAACTATCCTATTGGCTGTTATCAATTTTAGTTTTGCAGAATTAAAGCTTGTGAGGAATTTCAAGAGCATTGATAGGATAGACTTGTGTCATGCAAGTTTTTATAGACACAAAAAAAATTCTTCTTGTATTAAGTCAGACAGAAATGTAGAACTATTACACAAATAAAAAACTGGCAAAGCAAATAATGGAGGGAACAAGTTGGATGTTAGGCCAATCTGTTCTGAGCTCATGGAAAGGCTCCATGGGTTCTCAGGCAGTATACCGCTCACCCTCTGAACAAGCTTTGACATTCTAGCAGTTTTCAGGCCCTTTGATCTAGTTATCGTTGTCCTCTTCATCACTGTCCTTCATGGAAATGCCTTGCATCCCTCCTTCCCTCACTGAGGCAGTGGCTTCTTCCAAGGTCAGCCGGTTTCTCACGGTTTCATACATCTTACTGTTCAATGTGGAGTCCAGCACCCCTTGAAGGCGAAAGTCACGGTACTTTTTCTATCAGAAATAAATTAAAGAATCAGAAACAGTTGGCAAAAGCATTCCAAAAATCACTCAGGTTTTGTGAGATAGAGGGTCTTCAACTGGTAATGCCTTTATTTAAAAGCCACTCCTACATTTTAGGAAATATGCATGTTTGGTCTAAGTCAGATACTTCCAGTCTTTGTGCTATACTAGTCTAAACATCCCAGACAAATTTCTGGACACACAGATACAAACCCATAAAAATAGTAGTATGTTTAAAAGGCACAAACCCTGGGCAGGCTGCCAATCTATTTCACTTTCCTGCAGAAAAAGCCCCTGTGTAGAAAAAGGGATCATCTCTATAAACATATGTTTATGTGTATATGAATGCATTGGAAGTGTTTCCATTTGTAGTCCAAGTAGTATTGACCAATCATGTTTGAACTGGGTTTGGTTGCATTCAAGTTATGCGGAGAGCAAAAGAGGTGGAAATCACTGGCCAAAATGCAATCTTGGAACCCATCGACGCCAATTTAGCTTTTTATTCGCTTTTTTAAACATTTATTGACATTAATATGCAGACATCTGTTTATAGAGATCAGCCAAAATGTGTCTTTCTCATCATTTTCACATATCAAGTTGCTAATCAGACTGCAGAAGAAGTCTTGGTCCTGACATCCGTTTTCATTGTCAGACAGTAGCCAATGGGCTCCGAGACTGAACAGGGGATAACAAGTGTATACGTTTAATGTTTGGCCTTTTCAGAGTAAACCCGTGTCATGGCTTTGTTCCATTTACAAAAGAGTCTGCAAACAGCTGTGGAGATCAGTGGACCGGTACCATTTTTAAGCTAGCCTTTGTTATAAAGTAGCAGTATTATAAAATAAAGTATTTTATTATAAAGGGTTCAGGCCTATCTGGAAAGTTGAAGGATGATAATGGGTTTACTGTCTATTTTATTTATTCATCTACCGTGGCAAAATTTGGACATCTTGTCATTTTAACAAAGGTGAAGCAACGATTAGTTAACATTAAACAACAACATGCTGCAGTCATGTCATATCATAAATACAGTACATTATTATATATTATTTAATAAATAAAGAAAACATCCATGCTCGCCACCAGGTATAATAATAACTTGGATATACTTGGCTTTTTGGACCAGCCACAAATGCTTGCATGAGATGTCATTTTTCAGTTTGTTTACACCTGGTATTAACATGCATCTTAGGTGATCCGATCACAAGTGGTAGGCTTTAAGTAACTCAGTTTACACCTGGCATTAGAATGCATCTCCACATGCATCTTGAGTGACCACCTGTGATCGAATCTTACTTCTCCGCTCTATATACAAATAAACAATCTTATAGAGCTGTACCTTACTCAGAATGTTGTCAGTCAGTGTCCATTATTAGTCCTTTTATTCAGTTCAGCGGGGCACTAGCCTGTTGCATTTACCTGCTCTTTCAGCAGCCCTGCAATGTGTTTTTTTATATATTACACGAGAGAATTGAGGTGACCTGACACCAAGGGAGTCATCATCATGCTGTAATATTATCACCTTACTTGGCATTACATCTAGCTAAGATAAAACAGGTTACGTTTCCTATTTCCTTCTGCTGAAATTATGTGATCATAGAAAGTTTTACCTATTTAATCTGCAGCTTTCCCTTTGGTGTCGTCTTTACTTTGGGGAGAGTTTGCAAGTCAGTGATGTTACTCAATCACAAGACAGGTATTAAAGTGGGTGGCACAGTAGCTCAGTGGTAAGCACTGTAGACTCATTGCAAGAAGATCCTGGGTTTGAATGATTTGAATGATTGAACAATTTGAGACAAGAATTTGGGCATAAAATGCCTATTTTGAAAAATCACATATTCTTGCCTATTACCAGTTCAGTTCATTGTGAGTGGTTCAATCAGTCGTGACCTCAATTTGATAGGAAGTCAGTGAGGGATTATGTCCTACTATGAGCTTCTTCATAAGAATAATAGCTTGAACCTCTCAGTGCTTCAATATATTAAATCATTATTACTAATGCATTAGCACCAAAGGTTTCAGCTGGTATTGAGATGATAATCTGCTTCACATGTAAAATCAAGTAAAAAAGTGCACAAGTTCCTAAGTGTAGTTAAATATGAAGTAGATAAAAGCACCATAAATTGCGAAATACCACGTAATCAAAAACAAAAACAAGTATATTTCCTTCTGAAATGTGTAAAAAATACATGTTTTTCCTCTTTTCTGGTTGATTTAAGTTGATATATGACATCCATGTATTGCTGTCACTCACTGCTAAAAGCATCCACTCTACTAGAAAGGCCAAATAAAAAAGTGTGCATCTGACAAAAATACCGCACTGTGTGTGAAGAGAGGAGACAAATCCATTTTTAACAATACTCACTATCAAATGATGTGCAAAGCACAAGTGAAATGTTACAATGCACCAGTAGAAATTAGAGACTCAATTTTATAACTTTGATTCTTGAGAATATTTGTGTGACAAGAGTTGATGGAAACATTTTGCTTGCATTTAGACATGAGGGTTAGAAATGTAAAACGCGACTGTTCTCACCTTGACAACCCTAATGAGAATCTTCAGCTGATAAACATGGAGCTGGAGGTCCATACGGTCAGTCAGCCATGTTCCTACGAGGTTCATAGTGCTGGTGTACCATTGCTGTAACACACAGACAAGCACACAGAACGTAACATCATCTGATACTCCATGAAACAAATGCACTTAAAGCTTGTGAAGTTCACATCAGAAAGCAAAATTTTAACCCTCAAAACAATGAATCCACTATTAGTATCTGTAATCCATAGACTTTGCTCACGGTGTATTTGGCAGAAATAGCATGTGATGTAGTCCTTGGAGTGTATCATGATGACAGAGTTTCCTCGCCGATGACTGAGGGAGAGGCCGGAGGGACAAAACTGACAAACAAGTCCTCGGCAGCAAGACGTCTCTAATCTGAAAATGTTCATGTCATGTCGGTCGCACAACCTCATCAAGCCATTCGAAAATGACACAAAGCACAGAGCAGGCACTCCTCTGTAGCAGGGGGGTTGTTCTGCTGCAGTTCAGCAATGCCCACACAGTCTTCCCTGGGACCCAAGCTTGAGAAACAAGCATGACTCTTGTCATGTGGGACCCAATCAGATAGTACTGTAGGCTTAGGATGGACCCCGGGAAGATCTGGCAACTAAGACTTACTCTTTATTAGGATCCTCAGTTAATGGGGATCCTAATAAAGACTAAGTCTTATGATACTCTTGGCACACAGCGACATTTGTTTTGGCATGGGCACTTGTCAAAGTCCACAAAACAAATCTTTCAGGTGTTATTTTAGCAGTATGTCCCAAGCTGTGTGGTCTCTCTGTGATAATAATAATAATAAATAACAATTTTTATATGTCACATATTTGTATAATTTTATTGTAGCCAGCTTTTCCCAATTTTCACTGAATCTGGTGAAACAGCACCCCTGTGGAGATTTTGGCATCGGAAGTGTCCTGGTTTTACTTTGTAGTACTGACCATTGCATTTGCCGAGATGCAATCTCAGAATGTGTCAGCTATTGCCTGACAATGATTTAGCTTTTAATGAATTTTTTATTTTTTTTACTCTTATGCAGATATATGTTACAGATAGAGATTGGCCAAAATTTGTTTTTCTCATCGTTGCTAATTGAACTGCAGAGGTCTTGGCCCCGGTATTGATTTTCTGGATATTCAGTGGCTACACCAGAAGCCTCGAAACATTAGCTGTTGCCCCCATAATCGAAATCATCATCGGACTGAGATTGGTGAAATAGTGTACTGCAATCATCAAGTCTAAGTAAAACAACTTCACAGCACTGAGTAATTATTATAATTATTGCTATTATATAACCTGGTTATAAGCACGTCATCAACATAAAACCACATAACAACAACCTCCATCTTCAAATAGCAGTTATTATTTTTGATGACATCTACCTATGGAGGTTAAATGCAGTTAATTGGGGCCATTCGGATTTTTTGCGTATACTGTAAATACATTATATTCTTAATGGAGGCCTGCAACGAGTCCACTTAAATCAAACGCTGTTGTGGTGAGCATTCATTACGACGTGCCTACCACAAATGGAGCAGTAAAGCTACTGCGAAGGATTTACGGTGCTGGAAATCCATGTATCTTTGTTTTGACTTTTAGTTAGTTAAGTCAGTCAGGCTTTCTGCGAACTTCATCATCATCGTCATGCAGGTTTTGGTTGCTCAACACAGGCGCAAGAGTAGCGCAACGTCTCAAGCGCCTTGGATAAAGGGATGAAAGCAGTGCGGCTGGCGTTCTCCACACGTTTTCAGGCACAACATCTGAACGGCTCATTATAGGTCACTTTAGACAAAGACTTCTAGCAAATGGATTATGGTGAAGTAGTCAAATACTCTGGTCTCACAGTGGTTTTCCTGAGGCATATATAGTCAGGTATGTGTGATTCATTATGTTTGTAGCTTCAGAAAACCTGGTTCTGTTGTACTTACTGTATAATAACTTTGATAAGTAACTGGGTAAGGACATGTTTAGCATGCCAAACATAGATGAAAGAGAGTGTGTATGTGTTATACTCATTAAGTGAACACAAACCTTTAAATGTTTTCTGTTTGTGACTGAATGTTGAGTGGTTATTATATTCAATTATTATAGTCACAAATTTTTCAGTAAGAAAAACATGTTTTTTTAATAAAAGAAGCCAAAGTTTTCAAATGTTAGACATTATTCTGTACACAAGCAGCAGTGCAAAAATTGTGCCTAAAATAAAATAGAAGAAAATGGGCAAATTAATTATTTAAATCAGTAAATATCTGGAAAAAAAGGACCTGAGACTACGAATTTGACCAAGCATTTAATGCCAACCTTCAGTTCTCCTTTAGCTCTTTGACCTGATTCATGCTATGCGTAAACATCAGTTACAGAGGCATGCTGATATAGGCGATGAGTAATCAGTTTGAGCCATATCAAGCTAAAGTTGTGTTGTTAACCACTGCTTGCATCTGCCCATGGAAGACTGCTGGCTGTGGTGTTAACTTTAGTGAATTTCATTATTTGTAAAATTAACTTTATAACCTTATATGAGAAAGAAAGAATGTGCTATTTGTAATTATAAAGTCACATAGGCACATTTTATATCTACTATTTCATGTAAGAGTTTATATATGACAAGCACTCTGTGCTGAGTTTAAGTACTTGCGATGCAATAGATGCAATTTGGTCAGTACTCATAGAGTACTGAGGTACCATAACCAAACCCAGTCCTGTTACTACCATTTACACAGGTGTCACAAGCTTTAACCTTGAAATTCCCCCACTGCTCTATTTAGACAAGCCTTCTCCAAACGGTGACCTCTGCTAGGCACAGTGAGCTCAGAGCACGGCAGCCATGCAGAAACAGAGCCGAAAGGCTGCAGATGTTTCTCTGTGGGCCCTGGCTGTTCCCAGTCTAATTGATGGATAATGATGAGTGCGGGCTGATACTAATAGAAGCCGACTGACTTTCAACAGTCAGGGTCACAGCGGAATGGATGGGGAGGGGGAGCTGCAGAAGAAGGGGAAGAGAAATGAAGACGAAGGGGGTAGCAGAGTGTGTGTGTGTGTGTGTGTGTGTGTGTGTGTGTGTGTGTGTGTGTGTGTGTGTGTGTGTGTGTGTGTGTGTGTGTGTGTGTGTTTAGGAGAGATGAGATGAGATGCCAAGGGGTGATTTCTAAGTTGAACAAGAAAGATTTTATCCTTGAACGTAAACAACTTTTTGTCTTAATGATTGAACATGAGCTCTGTTGTCCATCAAATCAGACAAAGTAGAAAGTCAAAGGCCTATTCTGCTAACTGCAAACTATTAGCTGAACAGTTTTAATAATGTCTATTGACAATAATGATTGTTATTGTATATGTATAGAAATATTAAAGAAGTAAAGGCTGAATACTGAAGCAATGTTCTAGCTAGTCTTCATAGGTGGTACCTGAAGTCCATCCGTCCCTCCATCAGGTTTAACAATGCAAAACATTTGTATACAAATTGTGGACTTTGTGTTTGATTTTTGGACTGGTCAGCATTGTCTCCCTTAACCAAAGAAAAAGAAAGTATCAGGCCTCACCAGTTATGCATACAACATGTCAAGGCTTGACAATTAAAAGGATTGTGTTTACCCGGTCAAGATAGAGCAATGAGTGGATGCTGAGTTTGCTGAGATCTTTGTTGTGTATGAGCGAAAAGAAAATACTTCAATCCTTATCTGTTGGCTCATTATCAGCCTTGAATATTCAGATAATTCACTAAATGTAGGTTTTAACCTCACTGGGAAGTTGTCATTGGAAACTGTCTGGAAAAGGGCAGGCACTTTCAGGGGGAACTTCAAACCAGATCAACGAACCACATAACGTAGTCAAACTCTTACTCTAGCGAAACATCTCTTCCATCAAGAACAGCCTTCAGTGTCATTCTTTGTTTTTCTTTAAATGAAAAAAATGCTCTCCAATGCTGATATAGACTGAAAGTGACAATAACAGCCACAATAATGTCAGATTGAGAGTTTTTGTGTAATACAGCCAGAATATTAAATTGTGTATCTGCACTGCAGTTAATCATCATATTTTTCGTCCCATTTTGAATTGGCAGACCAAACACAAAAGACCAAAAGCTTCTCAGTGGGACACCAAGATCTTCGCTATTGGTCTGAAACCTGCTGAGGCCGTAAGAGGAGGGAGAGAGTAGGTTTACATGTAGGTCAAGCTCAGTCAGTGGAACATGGGGTGAAAGAGAAGATGGCTGTGCCGAGGCAGTGTTGGGGTGAATCAGTGAGGCGACCTGGTGCCAGCAGCTTTCTATCTGTCGCTGTGTGCCTGTGAAGGCTTCGGCGTGGCAGCAGGCCTGTGATCTCGCCCCGAGCACAACCCCCTGCCGAGAGGCCAGGCCTGGAGTGACTGATCCACTGCCATCATCCACTCCTCCTTCACTTCTCCTTTTTCTTTAGACTTTGCACCGTGCCACACAGCTCCCATCTGCAGCCATTTTTGCAGCAGCCATTTTGTGTCCTATCCTGCTGTACTCCTCTTCATTTTATATAAAGAGGCTTGACAGTTATGTGACAAGTCTTCTTGCTGCCATGACTGGCATTTGGAGGTCTGTCAGGGACATCTTGTGTACACATAATGCCTGTGATTTTCATCAACTTTAAGACCTTTTCAATGCCAGCTTGAATGTAATACCAGTTTTATCAATTAGAAAAAATTAAAGTGATTGTTGATCCATCAGAGGATATCTGCATGACTAGTTTAAACTGTCATCAGGAGAACAGGACACAAAAAACGCTTTGTCTGGGATTGTCCTGGTTTCAAGCTGGATGTCCCGACAGATATCCGTAAAAAACACTAACATGTCTTGGTTTTCAACATTCACTCATAAATGTTCCTGGTTTTCACCACAATTAAAATAATAAAGTCTAATATACTACTTGTTTAAATCAAAATCAAACCTTAAACAATGTACCCTGCATCTGTATTCCACACTGATTTGTCTGTATGTGCATCCACTTCAAATCTACTCTAACCTGCCTCTGACTGATTGACTTCTGGCCTGGTGCCACATTGTTTATGTATAGTGAAAATTTGAAAATTTTAATCCAGAGTCTTCTCTATGCCGT